GCAGTGCTCGTCCCAGATATTGTAACCTAAATTCAATTGGAAAATGAAGTTCTGTGAGGTGGCATAAAATGTTGAAGGGGGTTGAGTGGCTTTTCTTGGATGGATGCAAAATCCGTGTTATGATTTATTTAATTTTGGTACGGATCTAGGTCTGTCCCGTAAAAAATTGATCCGGATTCAAATAGGGATCCAGCTCGTGAATTTTTCTTTGCTAATTTCTTTTACTAAGGACAAATTACTAAGACTTTTAATGTAGAAAGATTCACCATTTGAAGTTCGAATAATAATAACTATTTTTTTTACTTTTTATATTGTTTATTTTTTACAATTTAGGACATGTAAAAGGTTTCATGATATGTTGCAAGGTTCAGAAAGTTTCTGGAGACTTCTTTCCCTAAAATCAGAATTCAGCAGGAACAAGAAATATTTTATATAAAATACTTATTTTTTTGGAATATTTTATATAAAAATGATTGCTTTGAAATATTTTATGTTTATTATGATTATTTATTTAAAATATTTTAGATTTATTATTTGATAAAAGAAAATATTTCGTTGAACTCATTATTTTCTTGATGTTGAATCAAATATATGAACTGTTTTATATTTAATATACAAATATTATTTTCTTGATATATTTTATTTTAAACTATGAGAACCCAACTTTGCCTATTAATTTATTAATTAATAAATGCAAACTTACTCAACCTAGAATTCAAGCTGCGAACATTTTTTCAGAGTTCCCCAGACAAACAGAGATTACTACTTCATAAACAGGGTGTCCCACGAAATTGGAAAAGTATAAAAAATTGTCTGTGGGAGAACTAGTAGTTTTATTATGAATCAAGGTTTTACGTCAATATTTAAGTACTTTTGATGTCTCCACCACTTGCCAATATTTTTCCTTCAGAAAACGTAAATTTATAGAATTAGCTGTTTTTTGAAAAAGCAAATATTTTTTCTTTTTCTTTTTTTGAAAATAGAATTTAATCATAAGAAACTTATTTCTAGAAGGATATAAATAATTTCAAGATTAGTTTTCCAGTGAAAATGTCGCAGAACCCTATTGTTGACGTGTTAACTTTTTTATCTGGTAGTAGATGGTAGTTTGTACGATACACAATGCTAACCTTAAACATTAATCTGATCAAATATGATGAAGTTATTCCTGTTATTCTTTCTAAAAATTGATAATTTTCTTCTGCTATTATCTTCAAAGCTAAAGCTGAAGAGTCAGACATACAAATCTTTCAATAGAGGGTAATTTTGAAATCACGTGTACATCCCCTTTAAATAGATCTTGTTTGCTGCAGTCATTCATGTTTGGAACAACTACCTACTCAGAGACTAGGATACGCCGGTCAGAAGATGTACCTAGATAGGTAGGTGTACGTATTTACTAGGTAACAGTTCAACCATTGTTCCGTTGAAAGCACATCTTCTATATATACTTTGCTCGTCTGTTTTGGTGTCTATTTGTTTGTATACAATAAACGTCAAAACGGCTGAACCGATTGGGCCCAATTTTTTTTGGGGAAGGTATGAATGATTAAAATTTCAAAAATTAGCCTCCAATAAAATTCGATAGTCATTCAATTTTTAAAATCCACGAAATTATTTGATAAATTCCGCAAACTTATTGTTCGTTTTTGTTTTACAATGTACACAAAGAAAAAATGTTCACAATTAAAATAGAAGATGCGGCTTGAAAGCTTAGTACTTAAAAAAAACGTTTTCTTTTTCATTAATTTTTCTTAAATTTTTTGTTTGCGTTCTTTATGTTTTGTTTATATTTTTTCTGAGGTTAGAGGTACGATCAACAATGTGAGAGANGAAAAAAATTTCTTAAGAATTCGTAAAATTACACTGGCAACCCAAGGCACTTTTTCAGCTAGTTATTTATATATTAGGGAGGAGGAGGAGGGGTTAGGAGTGTGGTCAACCTGTTGGAAGAGAGGAGTTAAAATGAGAAGGAATATTGTGGCCTCAAATTTTCAGGTAAAATTAGAAAGACCTAAAGGATCAGCATGCAAAGTGACTTTAAAACTGATCAGAGAACTCCGTGTGTTCATTTCGAAGTTGGTGTGTAAATTGCCAGAGGATTGTAGTGTACGATAGCGTAAAGTGTGAACTCAGTGTAGCTGACTTGAGAGAAATTTCTCGAAAATCACTTGTCCAACACGGTTTTTAAGATATAAAAGGAAAATATTTATTTTCTGCGAATTCTGGAAAGTAAATATTCAGATTTCTTCTATATATATAAATTTAGCTTGTCTGTCTGTTTGTATCCATTAAACGTCAAAACGGCTAAACTGATCAGGCCCAAATTTTGTGTGGTACCTCACGTGGACCCGGGGAAGGTTTATGAATGATCAAAATTTCAAATATTTGTCTCCATCAATATTTGATTTTCATTATATTTTTATCATTTGATCAGACAATGACAATAGTCACGCTTTACTCTAGATCAGCTAATCAGTCATTGACAATAGTTTCGTTAACGTCCTTAAATCAATTGATCAGACACCGACAATAGTTCCGTTTTCCTCTAGATCAGATGTTTAAGCACAGACAATTTTCATATTTTCCATAATTGGTTTTCCGTATAGATATCCCTATCCTCTCTTTTATCTCCAATTTCACCGAGAAATTAATATAAAAAAGTTATTTTTGACTTTCTTCTTTCTCCTTTTATGAATCACATTAAAGAATAAAATTAATCTTCGCTTTATTCATCTTTTTATATATATTCATTTCTTCATATTTATAAAAGGAGCACAGTGTAAACTGTACCCTGTACAATACATTGTACAGGTACAGTGTGTACATTGTACAGGTACAGTGTGTTCCAGTATGATGCCCAATTTATTTTCAACTGAAAGTTGTAATTTCACTTTTTAATATAAGGTTTTTACTCAATAAATATCCTATGCATAGAATTGAAAATTCCTTTTGTGGCCTGGCATATAAAGAGGAGTGGAGTTTCCTTTCAAATATTACTTCAATTTCTTTTTTCAAAGAACCAGGAATATGATTTTCAAGAAGATTTAAAATTTGTTAATGATTTTTCTCGTCCAAAACTATGCAGAAATGAACAGACACTTTACTAATGTGTATTTTGTTTAAATCGAATAAAATTAAATCGCTCTGTTCTGTGATGTACTGTACTGTACTGTACTGTACTGTACTGTACTGTACTGTACTGTACTGTACTGAACTGTACTGTACTGTACTGTACTGAACTGTGCTGTACTGTACTGTACTGTTACTGTACTGATGTACAGCTCTGTACTGCAATGTACTGTTCTAGGGCTGGAGACTGTACAGTAACAAGAACTGTCCTGTAGCTGAACTAAGTCCAACCCTAGATCTCAACTCTATCAAACAACAGTTGGGGGATTTCCCTCGTCTCTCACACAACGACGATCTCAAGATAGATTGGGACGACAAGGTAGGTTGAAGACGACATCTTATTCATACAATGTAAATGTAAAAAAAATTATCCAATGAGGATTTCTCTCAAGGTGAAAGCAAAATTTTGCACAACATTTTATGAAAATGAGAAAAAATGCACATTGCACATTCTTTTATAAATTGATATAATTCAGGGGCTGATACAAACAAGTCTGACCCTATTTTACGATTTTATTCATTTAATGTCCCTTGTTAGGGGAGGCATTTTATGAAGAAAAGGGCCTCCTTATTTATTTTGTATATTCATGGCGACAATTCTGAAAATTACCAAATTAAAATAATGAAAATATTAATAATGAAATATTTGCATTATAATGGTAATGATAAAGATAAAAATATTTATATTAATAATATTAAAACTGTTTTAGTATCTTGTTCTCTTTCATTTCTTCCGTGGAGAAACAGAATCCTGCACTATCAGACTCTGGGATATAGAGGTAAACTCCTTCCTTTCCAGTTAGGCTTAAAGGGACTGTTCACCTTTCAGAAACAAATATTCATAAAAATATAATTTGAACCTTTACGTAAAGATAAGCATTTCCGATTCATAACTTTTTCCATTGTTTTTAAAGCTGAAATCCGCAAGAACTTTTATCGGAAAATCATAATTAAAAAAGTCAATTTTCAAAAACGAAAACATGGCCATCACACTCATTCTTTGTCATAAAATTATCTTATTTTAAGGGCAGTGATTATGGAAAACAATTTTCATCCACAAATTTTTTCCACTTTATCTTTTATTCTTTATTCTTTATTTTGTATTTAGGACGAACCTAAATTTTTATACGAGGTGGAGAAAGGAATTGAATGTATAACAGACAAGGTAACATCAAGAATATTATTTATTCATTTCTTATGTAATGTGCCGTGGACCGCCCCCCNAAAACAAAGGGCATTTACTTGTATTAGATCTTGGAAAGGGACTATGGCAGTTTTTAAAAAAAGTGGGGCAGTGTGAGAATTATAACTCTTATTGCAGACTAGACGTAAAGATTTTTTTATATATATATAGATAACCTAACCCAAACCCGAAAAAGTATGTATGGTTGTCGTATGGGTTTTCAGCGTACGAAAACTTTCGTATTTTTTCGCGAAAATAATTTTGCGAAAAAAAAGCGAAAACGATGCGGAATTTAGTGAAAAAGAACTGGAGTACAGGGTCTTTGTTTTGTAAAATGGTACTTTACTAACATCGAAAACATGTCTATAACTGTGGTGTTTTTGTTTAGTTTACGATAGCAAATACTTTTAAGAAAACCCTTCAGAACATTCTAGAGTTGTTTGATCAAATGAATTTGTTTTTCTTATTTTTTTAACAAACAACTATTTTTATGCCCCTTTTTTTTCTACGCATCATTTGTCCTACACATCATTTGTCCTACACATCATTTGTCCTACACATCATTCGTCCTACACATCATTCATCCTACACATCATTTGTCCATCACATCATTTTTCCTAACATCATTTGTCCTACACTGCATTCGTCCTACACATCATTCGTTCTACACATCATTCGTCCTACACATCATTTGTCCTACACATCATTTGTCCTACACATCATTTGTCCTACACATCATTCGTCCTACACATCATTCGTCCTACACATCATTCGTCCTACACATCATTTGTCCTACACATCATTTCTCTAACAAATAATTTTTCCTACACTCCATTCTTCCTGCACATCATTCGTCCTACATCATTCGTCCTGCACATCATTTGTCCTACACATCATTTGTCCTTCAATCATTCGTCCCACACATCATTTGGCCTTCACATCATTTTTCCTACACATCATTTGTCCTACACATCATTCGTCCTACACATCATTTGGCCTTCACATCATTTGTTCTACACTTTATTTGTCCTTCACATTATTTGTCCTTCACATCATTTTTCCTACACTTCATTTGTCCTACACATCATTCGTCCTACACATCATTTGTCCTTCACATCATTTGTTCTACACTTTATTTGTCCTTCACATTATTTGTCCTTCACATCATTTGTCCTTTATATCATTTGTCCTTCATATCATTTGCCCTTCATATCATTCACCATTCACATCATTCGTCCTTCACCTCATTCGTCCTTCACATCATTCGTCCTTCACATCATTCGTCCTTCACATCATTCGTCCTTCACATCATTTGTCTTTCACATCATTTGTCCTCTACAATCATTGTAGAAAGTGGAAAATATCCTTTTCACTCAAAATTTTTTGTCATACAGTGAAAATATAAATTTGTTTTAACAATCTTTATTATCTTACAGGTGTCGGTTCACGCGGGTTATGTGGTGATAGTTCCATCTTGGCCGCTAGAGGCGGGGGCGCTAGTGATGACATTGGATATAAATAACAAGATGGAGGTCAGTCTCTTAGATAATGATTCAAGGAACCTAAAATGTTATATAGTACGTATAGGAAATTGATTATCAGTTATGGAGAGCTGATTAGAATAGTGTGTGTTTAGTTTTTACCAGTGCTTAGGATCCGGATCCAAGGGGTAAAATATCAAGCAAAAACTGCAAAAAAAAACTTTTTTACTCCTAAACCCTAAATTTGAACTTTTGAAAAAAGGGAGGTTATAAAAAGTTCCTCATTTCTGAATTGGTTTAGGATAAAAATAAGCGAAAAAAATAAAACAAACAATTTGAAAATTATTTTTTTTGAAAAATTCAGTAAATCTTAAGGAAATGACCTGGATCAGAATCCGGATCCATTTTTTTTCCAGTGCGGATCCAGGATCCGGATCCGCATCAAAATTAAATGGATCCTAAGCACTGGTTTTTACATTGACTTTGCCTAGTGATGGGAAAAAATTTAATTCGTTTTAATAAGCTGAATAGTTTTGGACTAAGATTCCACAAATATCAAGGAAGTTTTACAAATTTTAAATTTTTCTTTTTTTCAACATTTTCTTGCCTTACACAATGCCAAATGTTTGACTTTGAGAGAAGAAAAAAGTCAAACTTTGACCTTGGGAGTAAATGACTTCCAAATTGTTTTACCTTGAGAGAAAAGAATTGCCAAATTTTTTTACCTTGAGAGAAAATATTGCCAAATTTTTTTACTTTGAGAGAAAATAATTGCCAAATTTTTTCACCTTAAGAAAAAATAATTGCGAAATTTGTTTACCTTGAGAGAAAATAATTGCCAAACTTTTACCTTGGGAGAAAATAATTGCCAAATTTTTTTACTTGAGAGAAGCTAATGGCAGAAGTTTTTTGGGTAGTTTTTCCATTATATTTTCTCATATTTGCATATTTTAATAAAAGCAAACATGGAATACAATTTTGGGATGTTGGAACCCTCACCAGTTCAGATTATTTGTGTGGAGCCTGGATCAGTCCAAAACCCTTAAAATTTGTAATAAAAAAACGAACCCAGTTGTTGCCAATCTCTATTCATACAGTTATATTATGTTCTGCTAGTCTTGTAAGAAATTTCAAGCCTTGTTTTCAATCTTGAGCTGTCCATAAACGTCATAGTACTAGGTAAAAAATCCCCCCC